TCTTTATTCCACTAGATTTGACTCAAAAAATCAATGGCCATGCTTTACAAATAATTCTTAACTTTCCGTTGAGTGGGGTAAAAATGGGAAAAGTTGAATTTTTGACCTTTTTTAGTGTATTTTATAAGGGAAGCACGTTTGGCGAAATATTTTTTTCTCAACAGATGGATCGATCTAAAACTTTTCTTAGTTGGAATGTACTTTAAATGTTGTATAGAGTAGTTTTTTGATTTACCGCCAAAATTTTTCCCTTATGTTGTACCCGTTGTGCGATATTTCTCTTAAATCCACAGGATATCAAGTTTTCCCAATTCCTTCTTTTTCAGCTTTTCATTATGTCCTCCAATGGGACCTTGATCGGCGTTTTGGTGGACGTTTCTGGCTCAATGCAATCCATCTACGAGACGGGCAACAATTTGACGAATGACGGGATTTCGAGAATTGAGTCTGTCCTACAAACGATTCACGAGATTCTCAAGCAGGAGCTCAAAAATGATCACGACAACCGAATTTTTGCTTCAGCTTTTGGGTTGAGCAGCGAGAAAGCCGACAATTGTGATTTGCTGCAGTTAATGGATGGATTAGAAAAGTCTCGAGAACAATTTGAGGCGTTTCTGAGGCCACTCAGTGCAACGGAGATCCTAAATGGAAAATGGGCACTAAACAGACTGCTGGAACAACATGATGTGCTTTATGCGGAAAAATTTCTCAACGACTACCTAACCGACGAACAATGTGCACGGATCCACCAATTAGCTCAACTTCCAGAAAACGGAACTCTTGTAAAAGAGTTTATCGAAAAATTGCCAGTAGCATGCAAGAATCCAGTGGTGAATGTGGGTGCAAGAGGCGGTGGATTTTTAATGAATATCTTCGGTGTCAATTATGTCCTTGGTGATCCGGCTGCAAAGGCCACCAGAGAGCACGCCAAGGAAGCTCTGGCAGCATTTGAGTCTTTTTTTACAAAGAAACTTGAAAGTTTGATCAATCCTGGAGAAAATAAAATCTTTCCAGTTCGAGATGCTCTATCGATCTACGAAAAAGCTCTGGGTAAAGAGACCAATGAGACTGGAATTACAAAGGCAAATCTCGACCAATTTGTCTCTTTGATCAAGCCGTTAATTTATGGTGGGACGCCACTATGTGCTGCTCTAAGGAAGTTCCATGAAGTATTCGAGAAAAGTACCCAAAAAGAAAAGATCCTGTTCTTGGTGACAGATGGACAGGCGACCGATGGAAAACCGGGTGAACTTGCGAAGGAATTTCGAAGTTCTGGCATCCGAGTGATCGTGTGTTTTCTGACAAACAAAAACTTTGGGGAAGAGAAAAGATTCTACTATAAAATGCCTAACCATTGGGATGCTGAAACAAAGAGCTTATTTGAATTGGCGAGCGATGTCGACAATTTCCATCCGTTGATGAGTCTTCCATTGGAGAGGGGATGGCAGTTGGCGCCGGAGGGACGAAGCAAGCTTTTCATTCAGGTTGATTACGAGTGAATTTAAGGAAAATGAACCAAAAATTAGTAGTTATAGTCTGACTGTCACTTCAGAAAGAATTCAACAGTTTCATTTAGGCAAACCATCCTTCGACTCTCTCGGAAGTGGGCCAAATAGCTTCTGCCGGTTCAGTCTCTCCAGTTCTGAGTTTGATCTCGCGCGCCTCTCTCGATGAATTCATCAACTCGGAGATCTCAATGGTAAAAGGAAAGGCTCCGAAACAAGTTGGTGGCACTTGTTATGCCAATGCTTCGGCTTGGGCGATATATTTCGCTCAGAAAAGGATTTATCAGCGAAAGGGTGGTTACTCAACTTTTGAGGGGCTCCGAGAGGAAATGATTCAAAGATTTGGAAAGGATGGAGCGGTCACCAAAGTCGTACTCGACGAGTTTTGCAAGAAGCACCGATTGCAATGCAATAAAATCGATGAATCAGCGGCAAAAGTGGCCATTTCACAACGGCGCCCGGTGGTCACCACGTTTAGGCTCTCGGAAAAACAGTGGTCGAAATTCTCCGAGTTCTACACTCAAAACCCTTCAGGCATTTTAACAAAAGAGAGCCTTGGCTCAGAGGGCGGTGAACAGGGCGGTCATGCAGTCATTCTGATCAAAGTTGAGCCGGATTGTTTAGTCTTCATGAACAGTTGGGGACCATATTGGGCAGATAATGGATACTTTCGAATCAAAGACGCTAGTACGCTCGACTGTCAATTCTATGATGTCCTTTGGACTTTGCGTGATTTGACTCCAGAAGAAAAAGCTGATTACAATAAATGGAAGGCATCTGGAGCCACTCTGATCGAGAAATTGCCCGAGAGCATCAAATCGTTGGCCTACACTTGCCCGAAATGTCATCGAGCGTCGCCGGCCAACAAATTCCGTGGGAATTTCGAGGTGGCCGTCTGCCCATTGTGTCATCAAGATTTCACTCCAATGTTCCTCGATTTTATTCCTCTTTCAAAGCATTAAAAACTCAAGTATAACTAAGCAACTAACCGTCTTTTTACTATCACATATTCATTTTCATTTTTTCCGTGTCAAGTTTAAAGTTTTTTTCTGTCTACATTTATAAACGTTATAAAACAACACTTGTAACTAACACAAACCAGTGAAAGAACCGCATTTGAGAGCAATAAAAGTATTAAAACCAAAGCTTAAAACTAAACTAAGGTATTAAAACTAAAGCTTCTAAAAATGGCACCTTATAAACATTGTCTTGTGTTTAATTGTTTGTTCAGAATGCATTTGAATCGCTTTAAACGAAACTAATTTATCTGAGCACTAAAACCAACGAATTCAAATCAATCAATGAAATCAAATCAATCCTGACACACGTGGATCTCTTCGCAAATCTCGGTCGCACTCTTGCCGGCCTTGATCATCTCAACGATTTGCGGGATTTTGTGTCCGTTCAACCGCGGCTCATCGAACATATCACAATCGGAAGCACGAAGAAGAAAGAGATCGGGAGGAAGGTGTTCATATTTTCTTTAGAACTATACCTTACATAGTCAAATTTGTTTTTGAAATTGATTTTGAGAGCCTCAAACATTGTTAGTCGAGCTTAAAAATTGCCGGAGTTCAAGAGAGCTGCTTAAAAAACATTAAAAATGCACTTCAAGAAACAAATTCTTCTTTAAAACAAACATATCTAAAAGGTCAAAATGGTCGCGTTTTCTAAATTTGAGTTCCATTTTGTTCTATCTCGACGGCGAGATAAAAAATGTGAAAAGTATTGTCTCGGAGAGGAAGTAAAGATAAGACAATCGAAATTCAACATTAAATATCAAAAAGGGATCGTCTAGGCCTGCACTCTTATAGCACCTTTAAATTCTTGCTATTGCAAAGATGGGTATTTGTGGTCGAGTCGAAAGAACAAAACGTGTATTACACAAGTGGAGTGTGATGTAATGGAAGGTGGGGTGATTTTGAACAGGGTTCTTCCTGGAATTGAGCAAAAAAACAAGCTGAAAACTGTCCTTCTTATTGCTTAAACGTAGTTCAAGTTTTGGCTAAAACGTTATTATTAAGAAAATCGCCAAGCATGGGCTGATTTAGAATTCGATGAGGCAGGTTATACTACAAAGAATGAGGAAAAAAAAAAAGAACAAAAGAGAAAGCTTTTTCATTCGTCTATACATTACGAAGTCAAAGCCACACGACAAGAAAGCGCTGCACCGACGATAAAGCATGAACAGAAAACATAGATATCGTTGATTGTGTCAAAGCCAGAAGCCATCCAGGCATCAAGGTAGGCCCATGCAATTCCGCACACAAATGGAATCATCACTTGGACGAGTGGCCACTTCAACGTGTATCGAAAAAGAGTCCCATCAAAAGTGACCGCAAAGAAACGACGAAATCTTTTTTATTCAAAGATTTGTTTCTATCATCTCTAGTCAAACTTTAGAAGACTTGCCTTAAATCAGTTTTTTGTTTTGTTTTCTGCTATCGAAATTGTCTCTCTGTAAAGCGGTGGTCAGAAAGCACAAATGACAAACAACCGCGGAGCGCCATTTTGTCGGCACAATAAAAGGAGCTGATCTGATTGTTTTGGCACCATTAACAAAGTAACTGTTTGTTATCTTCTAATGTTTTCTGATCTCTCGTTTGTCTTGTTGAGCCGAACATTGTACTTTTTCATCCGAGAATGTTTTTGAAGCCTTAAACGTTGACCACTCTCCGTGTAGGAACGGTTTGAGGCCCTTGAAGAACTTCGATGAGCTTTGAATAATCATAAAAAAGTTTCCAAATGTGAGACTCAATGACACATTGTATGAATTGTGGATCTTTTCGACACTTTTTTGCTCAATTTCTTATCATCGTGAAAAAGACTGCAATACAATCAATATCCGAAAACGATGCAACAATTTTTTGTGCTCTTTCTTGAAAAAAGACTTTATTGGCTGAGCATTTTATTGTTCATCAATAATTTCGAACAATAAATTGTTTACCTCTAGACCCTTTTGAAATAAAAAGCATAACCTCACTAGTTTATTGTTTTGAAACTCTCTCAAGAAAAATAGACTCAATGTTTAAGATATGACGTGACAAGATCATTTCACTTTTCAATTTTTCCTCTTGGCTTGATGTTGGGAATGAGAAACAGCTCTTTTGTGCTTTTCTTTGATGAAATTGTGTACTTAATGTGATCATTTTTAAACGGTTTTCATTTGTTTGCTTTATTTTTCTCAAGTACATGCAAAATAAATATAAACAATCTAAATAAAACTCTATTTTACCCGATAATGTCGCCATTTGTCATTTTATTTCTGATTTCTTTACGTAATTCAAATAGCTATTGACTTTTAATTCCAGCATTTGATTCATTTCTTCGTCTGATCAACAATATACATCAAATTCCATCTCAAAAAATGCAACTCTCATGACAAGAAGAAATGCGTTGAATAAATTTGTTTTTATTATTCTTTTACTACTCCCATCTCTGATCTCAAAAAATCCCCCTTGGACTGGAATAGATTCTGGTCAAAGCGAGAAGTCTATGTCGGAAAATGAGTTCTCTTTTAGGTTAGTTTACAAACATCTTTACAAACAAACAAAATTCGATGAGAATCAATTTAGATACATCAAAAAAGTGAGTGGTGAAAACTTGACATTGGAATGTGCTCGTCCTATTGGCTCGTACGTGCGGTGAGTGAAGATTTAACTATAGCTATTGCTAAAGCAGTAGCTGTAATTTTGTAGATTTTTGTATTCCATTTGTAACAGGGTAACCATTGTAAGTTTCTTGACTAACTAAATTAACTGAATTTTATTCCTTATTATAGCTGGGAGTATCCATATGAGGGCAACATGGAACTTGAAGGTTTTTCAAAGAAGGAGCTGGATAGTCGACTGAGATTTCAGCACGAAGATTTGGTAGACTTTGACAATGGTGTTCCAAAAATTTGTTTTAGCAAGTGAAATTGCACATTCAAAATCTTAAAACAACGGATACGGGCGAATATTCATGCACTGTAAAAGAGAAGAATGGAAAACAGTTACGAGACACCATTTATCTTTTTGTTCGTGGTAAGTCTAGACCGATGTTAATTGTATAATATTTAATCTTTTCTGGAGAAAGTATTTTCCTGAGAAACAAAGATCATTCCTTGACTGCCAATTTGAAGAACTTCTTTGTCCCATGTCGAACGTCGTCGTCGATTCAACGTAAAAATTATAAAATGCTTGAAACACAGTTTATTTAGGTAATAAGATTAAGTTGTTTGTTGAAAATGAAGAATGGATTGAGAGATGTACAATGAACAAAAAATTACCTAACCCGGATGAAGTCAAAAACATCCGGTATCGAAAAATAAAAATTGAAGAGGCTAATCGAAACGTTCTTCAGGGCCCATCCAGCTCTTAATCAAACAAATCACTTGAAGTGTATTAAACTGTGGGAAAATTATCATCCAAGGTGAAACATTGTACTTCATTCTCATCATAACGTCCTTTTAGTCATGGCTTCTTTATCACATCAAGTGAGATACCACTCAAATGGAGTCAAGTCAACAATAAGAAATTCCGTTGTGAATACGAGAATGGAAGCGTCGAGTTTTTCATACAGGTAAGAATACAATTTTAGCTTTAGCCATTTCAAGTAAATATTTACAGGCTACAAAATCGATTCCAGGCTTCAAAGGTAATGCTTGGGCAAGTAGCAAACAAATTTCTGAGCACCTAGTCAGATAAATTCTAGGTGGAGAAACAAAATTAAATTGTACTTTATCTAATCAACAACTGTTGCTTCTCGATATTAAAAAGGGTCGACTGAAACTTTCTTGTCCATCATGTGATTCAAATATTGATCAGGTATTACACAACAAGATCATTTTGATGATTGAATTTTAGACTGTCGTCAATCAAATATTTGAGCGATTCGAAGAAAACGAGACTTTGCAAGAGGCAATCACTTTTTGGGAGTCAAACAATAAGAGCTTTTGCAGTTGGTGAGTGTTTTGTCAATAGAATCTTACTGGTCAATTGCTTCAGTATTCAACAAATTGGTGCTGGTGGTAATTGCCAACTAATTTTGACGGACTTGGAAACTACAACAAGTGAAAAACCGATTGTGTCAGGAGATGCTCTGAAAACATTACTAATCTTCGTTTTTGCTTTTATTTTACTCGTGGCTGCACTGCTTTCTCTTTATGTTTCCTTTGCTTTCTGGATCATACACAAGAGAAGAGCTATTGGTAGGTTAGTACTCTAAATAATTACCGATTCTGTTTACTATAAATTACAGAAGAATAAAGTTCGAGCTCGAGGAAGAGACAACTCCATTACAAACAATAGTTGAGATGGAATCTCTTGTTGAAGCACAGAAAGTTGATCAGGTACTTGAATACAAAATAAATTTTGTTCAAATTTCAGAGTTCAAGTTCAAATCTCCTTCGAAGATTGCCGAATTTGAGCAAACATACGAGGAACGTCCAATAGGAGTTGGCGAATTCGGGAAAGTCTGCGAGTTGATTGGACACAATCCGTAAGAGTTGTAGCTTTTCTAAAAAATGAATTTCCAGGCCAGCTGTCAAAAAGTGCCTAAAAAAGAAGGCTCATTCCGAATCTCAAGCCAATCTCGATCGTTTCAAACAAGAATTCAAAATCTTGAAAACATTGAAACATTCAAATGTTGTCAGCTTGATTCATATGGAATCTGTTGAAGGATCTAATGACTTTGGAATAGTAATGGAGTACTGTCAGCGGGGGAATCTCGGAGAGCGTAAGTTAAATTTAAACGTTAAATAGGCTTTTTCAGTTCTATCCAACTCTACAATCATCTACTCAATGAAAACGGTGATCATTTGGAGTAGAGAACTCTTCGATGCACTCGGCTACATGTTTCGCGTTCATAAAGTCATCCATCGTGATATAAAACCTGAAAAGTACATAGCTTTTCAATATCTACAAAAGTTCTTCAGTATCTTTGTCACAATGGAATTTGTTTTGAAAATCGGAGACTTCGGTTTGGCAAAGTACATTGAGAAGACTTGTGTGGGTAGCTTTGCCGGAACACAACGCTATATGAGTCCCACACGATCGAGAGAGGGTGACGATTTGCAGGTTGGTGACTGCATTCAATGCATATACAGTTGTCCTACAGAATCCGTACTTCCATTAAGTCCAGCAGTTCAGAAAACACAGTTGAGCCTATAAATTGAGTCTCATTTCAGGCCTCTCACCGAAATGATGTGTATGCATTGGGGCTTGTTTTGTGGGAAATCATCGAAAGAAGGTCAAGAGTTGAAAATGTCTTTCAAAGCAAAGGATATTTGTACAATACTACTTCATATTGTTTAAGAAAAAATTCGTGAAACTCTCTTTAGAATCGTCTTCTTGGAATACGGGTCACGGGGAAGCTTCAATCCATATGATTTCTTTGCAGACATCATACAAAAGAAGTTGAAGAGACTGATTGCACCAAATTGTCAAAAAGGGATTCGAGAGATCATTAGGAGGTGGTTATAAAGTCAAGTATGAAATTTTATCATGAATATATTTAGATGTACAAACTTCAATCGTTCATCAAGGCCGATGGCTGTCGAAGTTCTTGAAGAACTCATAAGATTTCAACAGGTAATACTTGAATCATTTACATGTAATATCTGAGTTAAGTGATGTGATAACAGATAATGATAACAGAGTAACTTGACTTAACAGAGTAACTTTAATACTTTAAATAGTAAAAACATGATGATACTAATTTACAGAATGATTCATTTATCGATTCTCTGAACGTTGAACCAACTGAAGAGCCCGAACAACAAAGAGTTCTCCGGCCAATCGGCTTCGATGGAACACGAAATCAGATCCCAGTCAAGGGACTCACAGAAACCTCGTGTACCTCATTTGAACTTATGCCTCGTTCTGTTTACATAACGGCTTTTTGATGGCATTGTTTTGTTTTTTATTAACGATGCTTTGAAGTGACTTTGGGTTCTTTAAATCGTTTTTGTTCACCATTTTTCTGTTTCAAGTTCAAATCTCAGGTGCTGTGTTCAAATGTTAACGAATCTCATTTCACCATTTCGATTCACAAGTTTACTTATTTTAAATAAACTTTTCTAAAAAATTTGATTTTGTTTACAAAATAATCAATTCAGCTCACAATTCTTGAGAACAAATGATAAAAAAAGCTTTCGAATCATACCACGTGCTTTAAGAACTGGAAATTTAGAACAAGGATCACAGATAGAGTTTCTCCTTTAAACCAAAAATCCAACAATCGCTTACCCACATGGATAAAGGACGTGAATTCCTTGACCTGAAAATTCCTCGAGGGTCAAAGAAATCACTCCATTTCCTGCTGAAATCTCTTCGAGAGGATCTTAATACACGATAACTGAAGGATCAAAAAACTGGCTCTTTCCTAAAAATAAAATTTTCAATATAAAATTATAAACTTCTTGTTCACATGAAGTCAATTTTGACGGCTTTGATATGGCTAGTTGGATATTTAACACTTGGAAGCGATGTAAATGAAAAAATCAACTAAAAAGTACTCAATTCTTAAGCCTCATAGAGTGCACCTCAATGTGAACCAGTAGGACCATAACTTTGCTTATGAACTGTTAAAATGTATAAACTTTGAAATTTGTTTTTGTACTCAAATTTGATGATAACAAAAATGTTGAGTGAGGTGAACTTACCGAAAACATATTTCCCCAACATACACCAAACACAAAAGCAAGTCAAATTTTGCCAGAAAACATAAAGTGAAGATAACAAAAAGTGTTTTTGTTACAAATAAGCACTCAAAAGCCATTGTAAACTCATGGATTTGCATTGGAAAACAAATTTCCCGTACAAAAGGGCACTATATGGGTACGCTATAAAAAGATAAAGTAAGTTGGGCAAATTTGAGTTCTAACAACTTGTCAACTATTCTAAAAATGTTTTATTTCGTTATTCTTGGGGTCTTGATTGTCCCATCAGTCACAGTCCTCCCACTTGAAACAACATCACAAACATCATTCTCTCCACCAATTGGTCCAATTCCTTGCCCATGTCCATTGATCATTATTCCACCGTGTGGTTATGATTGGAGTTCGTTTTTAATTAATTTATTGTAAAAATTAATTTAGTTATTCGTGCCAGGGTCTACAATGAGAGCAAGCTCATTCAGGGAGCCGATATTCAGAACGTTTTCTCACTGGAACATGTTAAGATTTTCAAGGTTTGTGGAAACTAATGAAACTTGATACATAATCGTTCAAGAATTTGTATAAACTCTGCTTTTAGGGATCCAAGGATCTCCCCAAAACCCTCTACTCGCCAAATCTTTGCGGTGTAAATTTGAAAACAAATGAGGAGTATTTGTTGAGCGGTTTATTAAGCATTTTGTCAACTTTCAACTCAAAATGCTTTAGGAACCGAATCGACATTCAATTATCTCATTGCAACACTTTGCTCCCAAATCACTCATAACGTTTCGCCGCTTTGGAAAGACGTAGTGTTACTTAAAGTTTTCAGCTTATTCCATTTCAACTTTTTTGTCCCTCATCACTTCAATTTTGATTTAGATACCCAAAGCGATGAAGAAGAGTGTCCGAAATTTGCACTGCGATGCATCGAGTACAATCGGACCAATGGAGACAACGCATAAGAACATCAGATCGTAAATTTGAGATTGATACTGATAAATGCTTATTTGATGCTCTTAATGTTGAACCAATTAAAATGACAACTTTTCATTGAAATCACCTCGATTATTCAGCAATCAATTTTTGCCATTACTAAAAGTCTTGCACAAAGCATCATCTGGATCTTTTGTTGCGTAATTTTAGCGCATGGGAGAAAGCGTGCAAAACGATGATTAAGGTTATGGTTATGCTGATGTTGGTTACAAAAAAAGTTGTTGATGGTTAATGTAAAAAAGCATAAACTATTAGGTTGATGCATAAGTCTTTTCGTTTTTTTCGTACTTCTGTTAAAAAGTAACAAATTCACCAATTAATCTATAGTTTGCTCTATAAAAAAGTGCTTTTTTTGTTCAATTTCCATCTTTTTAAATCAATTTCGGTTCACTTTTAAGCAAATTCGAGAGTGAAAAACGCCTTTTTCGTAAAAATCGATAAAAAACTCTACGGAAAAATTGGCTGAATGAATTTCTCTGAAATTTTGGCGAAATATCAAACTTTTTTTCTCTATCTTTTATCTATTGACACGAAGATAGGTTTTCTTTAGCTAAGGTGTCTAAACCGCATGATCGAGTTAGCCCTTTTTGACTACCCGACTTCATACTCTCAAGAAAATCCAGGCATAAAATATTTTTAAACCCGTTTTAATGTTATTTTGCAGAAAAATAATTGGTTTTTCTAATGAAATCAACCGAGAATTGGGATTTGTTGGCGAAACGGCAGACGAAAAGGAACAAAAGACAGCACAACCAATAAAACACCCGAACGAAAAGAAGAAGGAAAAGGAACAGAAAATCACACATTGACTAATCATCTATAATATAAATAAGTGATCCCAGTGATGGGGACTTTAATAATTAACGATGAACGAGTTAGGTTGGAGAGAAAGTTCTCGGAAAAAGCTTGTACTGTAATTTTTCAAAAATTAGAAAATAAATTTATTCAAGGTATGCCCCATTATAGTAAAACTTGTTGCCATTTATTTGGTAGAGCACGGATTCCCTTCTCACAGGAATTGGCTGTCAAAAGAGTCGCGTAGCCAGGTTTCGACCTCAGCTCCGTGTCTCCGATAGTTGACATACAGCACCCACTTTCATCCCCAGTCACCGCATGTGGCAAAAAAGAATATCGGTTGTATCTTGAGAGATGGGCAGGCTGAAAGGCGCTGCCATCTCATCAAGTCAGACAGACTGTGGGGAATCCAGTAGCCAAATTTTTTGACATATCCCATTGAGTGAAGATGCGTTTGAATTGTTGTTTGGGAGGTTAAAAGCTGCTCTCCCAATTCTCGGGTAGACAGTTTGTTATCGTTTTGTAAGAGAGCGGCAAGAGCTGTTTCATCGAAATCAGTCGGGCGACCTGACCGCGGGGCATCTTCTATGGAAAAGTCTCCTCTTTTGAAACGATCGTACCATTTATAAACTGTCAATAAACTTATTGAACCTTGACTATAAATAGTATTGGTTTTCTCAAGAACTTCTTTGGCTGGAACTTTTTTCTTGACAAAGAACAAAATGACATGCCGAAGATGACCCTCGGGAAGCTCCTGAGCAGCTCCAAAGAAATAAAAAATAAAGCAAGAAAATAGCAGTATTTCATTTGGGTTTCTGTGTAGTCAATCAATGAGGCTTGATGTAAACAAGATCACTTATCAGCTGCTGCGTCGCGTGTTCGAGGAATTTAATAAACCAAAAGTAAAAAAAATTCCCAGGACTTTCTTTCCAACCTGATAGTAACAAATCACTTGCACAGAGGTTTAAAATTTGAAAAGAGCACAGCTAACTGTTTTAAAATTTTCTAACAATTGTTAGAAAGAAGAATTAAGTATTCTAGGTAAAAACTTAAAAGTAAACTATTCTATTCATCAAAGGATGAATCGAATCAAAACAGAATATTTTATGTACAACATTAACGTCCAAACAGTTGGATATTTTGACGCGGTTTTTTCTTTTGAATAGAATAAATTTGTAAACATTTTAAATGGAAAAAGATTGAATAGTAATATTTTGGTTTTCCAACAGAAATAACAAAAGTTCTGCAATCAAAACACGAAAACACTTTTGTTCGGTTTGGTATTTAAGTGGAGAGAAAATTTTGGAAGCCGAATCAAGTTGATTTAACCACTGAACAATGACCCAATTTGGTCTTCTCCTTCTTCTCATCTCAACCATTTCCCTTGTTGAATGTGGTGGCGGGACACTCGATTTCGGTCAAGCCATTCAAGACCTCGTCAAGACATTTACTACTAAATATGCTGTGGTGGTGACGAATAAGATGGGGAATTCGATGTATTTGAAATGTGCCTCAGCCGATGATGCAATCACTGGTGATGGATCAGATGATGATGATTGGTGGACATTGGAACCGGGACAGGTAAGATGAATAATAGAGTGTGAGCATTTATTAGGTTGACAGGAAAATGATGCGAATTTTTATTTCAAAAAACAATAAATAAAGAGGATTAATATAAAAGGTACTCTCCATTATCATTTAGGACATCATACCATCTTTTGCTCAATTCAATAACTCCATCATCAAAGAACTGGGGACTTTTTGACGAAAAATAGTTGGTGATCGCATTTTCGACTTCCTGGGAATCCTTGAACAGCTGATCGGAGATGAACTGCCTTAGAGACCCAAATAAGTGGTAGTCTGATGGGGCCAAGTCAGGGCTGTTTGGGGCGTGAGGTAGAAATTTCCAGCCCATCTCTTCGATTTGTTGGAGGGTCATCTTTGCCGTGTGCGGTTTTGCATTATCGTGCAAAAACCGAATTTGTCATGTCGAGATTTCGATAAAGTTTGATTCACACGCTCTAACTGTTCATTGTAAAGTTCAGCTGTGACAGTTTTGAGTCAAAATAAACCAATCCTCGATAGTTCCACCATACGTACAACATCAACTTCTTTCCATGCAGACCAGGTTCTGACGTGACAACCGGGGCCTGCTTTGGTGATAGCCATTGGTGCTTGCGCTTAACGTTATCATATGATATCCACGTTTCGTCAGAAGTAACCATTGATTTCCAAAAATCATGCGCTTTTGATTTTTGAATCAAAATTGGACGAGCGTTCATACGGGCAATTTTGTGATTGAGGGTCCGTTCATGTGGGACGCATTTTCCGCATCTGTTTCGCTTCCCAATCAAATGTAAATGCTCTTCAATGGTGCTATGATGAACATTGAACATTTCCGACAACTCCCGAGTGGTGCAAGTGGGGTCTTCTTCGAAAATTTGCAAAAGTTGAGACTCCTCCAGCTTTCGAGGACGTCCTTCGTGATGCTCATCTTCTAGGCTCTCGTTTCCACTTCGAAATCGCTCAAACTATCGATAACATTGGCTTTCGCTAATATTACCTTCGCCATAGGGCTTTGAAATAGAATTATGCGATTCTCGGGCAGATTTTCCAAGCTTAAAGTCATCGAGTAAAGCAGCTCGAAGGAATTTTTGTTCCGTCATTTTTTGATAACAAATGAGCAAATGTTCTCGAATAATATTATGATTGTGTAAGCAAACACACTCTGCTTCTTTGTTACTATCACGGTTTTCTCTGTTTGTCTGCCATTACTTTCCCAAGAGCACAAGTTAAAAATTTGCATTATTTTCCCGTCAACCTAATTTGTCGTTGACATCCCGTTTCAACAAATTTATGTGTCCAGTTGATTGGTGTTAAGGTCTATGCATAAGTTATGGTGATTGCGAAACATTTCCAAACTTTTAGGCACTCGCTTGGGGCTTCGGTGTGAACAATTGGGACACTACGTGTTTCTGGTGCTACGCAAACAACAACGGTCAAGAGGCCCGTGACTCGGGCAATTGGTACATCCACCAAAACGTTTGGGGATGGGATGGCTGTGATGGGGCACCGGCAGAACGAGATGCCAATAATGGGGTGACCAACTGGGAGTTCTGGAACTCGGGTGCCTGGTCGAATATGTGCAACGATTGTGGAGAGAATGGAGATATGGTTCTCTACACATCGTGGGGACCTGAACCGTAAAAGAGATGGAGAAACTCAACGTGTCTGTACACTGTTTGTGGTTCGATAAATTTGCATGCAACGATTTGCATTAACAGTTAAGAATATTTGGTAAACAAATCTAACAACGATGAAAAAGTCATTGAGAGCCGATAAGCCTTACAAAGCTCCTGAAAAAATAATTTATTAAAAATCAAATAAATAGATGAAAAACAAAAGAAATCATACATTCAAACAGAATTTTTTTCGCTTCTCCTCGAGGACTTGAACAGGTAAAGTCACAGAACTGGGTCTTGTAACTCTCATATGCATTACCTGAACTCAAGAATGGGAGAGCTTTCGAATTTGTCCGAGAAAGTCCGAGACCCGAGAAAGAATTTTCTGAAAATATGAAGTGAGAAAGAGATAAAACTGATTGTTAAGCATTTGGTATTGTGTATTGTTCATGGTAGTGGACTAGAACACTGTGAGGGACCGTCTTCATCACGTCAAGTTTCTTCGTTTTCTTGTAATCCAAGTAATGTTTCTCAATCAATCGCCAACATCAAGTTGCATTTTGCATCCGACAGTCGTCCACCAGTGATCATGAATGGAAGTGGATCCAGACAGATCGATGGGTAATCTGGCTGTCAGGGGTCTTCCTGAAGACAAACATTTCAACTATGACTGAGTTTTCAAAACCGTGATATTTGTTTATCCCAGTTGATTCTGACCGTTTCGATATGAGAAATCGACACGGAAATCACATCCGCCACATCCGAAAATGTCGATTCACTAAAGAGTTTGATGTAAAGCCAATTTTTGATTCAAATGGTCACTTTCAACTGAAAACAAGTTGCCAAGGGAACACTGAGAAAGAGAAGATTTCAGAAATGAGAATCATTCTCTCGTTGATTCTCTTCGTTTCGGGTGAGTTCTATTTGTAAAGCTTTAGGGGGGAAACCCATGATTTAGTTGATTGAAAGGGTAACAAGTAACGGAGACCAACTTCAGCTGCTGCTGTCTGCAATGTACACTACTGGACAATGAAATATCATATTTGAAAAGAGATCGTCACTTTCGCGCGTCTGTAACTCCCTTGTCTTTACCGTATTTCTAAATATTAATATTACCATTGTGTAGCCCTTGAAAAGAGCTTTCAAAAAATGTATAACACTAATAGTTTAAAATCAAAGACAAGGTAGTAACAGACGCGCGAAAGTGATGATCGTTTTTTAAATATGATAATTCATTGTCCAGTACTGTAGCTGATCAGACTCATCTTTTTAGTTTAAGTAGTATCACCTTGATTAATCTAATCCTCGCTTTAGACCTTCAATGCACTCCGCTCAAAATGTGCCAAGGGAACACAGAGATGACACAATTACACATAGGAATATGATTATCCATATGATGATGTCAGTGACTCCTTTTCATATCAATTAGTCCCAATTTTAGTCCCTCCCCAAACCACCAGTCAAATACTAAGCAAAAGCAGCGCATATGTATAAATCGGTTTGTCTTTGATGAATTGCTTCAACTTTTTCCCCACTTTAGAAATGGAAGGAAAGTTGCAGCTTGTCCGATGTCCGATGCAGCTTGTCCCGAAAAACCAAGCACATTCGTTTGGGCACTTTAACATTCGCCTAAACGCCTAACATTTCCTATCCGTCTAAGATCCTACTATTTCCAAATTACTCCCAAATCAACATTTCTACGATCTTGAAGATATGATATTCACCTACTCGAAATTACCACCAGAACTATAAAAAACCGTCCTAAACTCAACTCCACTATTCGAAATCCCCAAGCTACTCCAAAGCAACAAATCGAATCGAGAGCTGATTCTGACAAAGCCGTTTTCGGCGAAGAAAAACGACTCGATTGATGTGAAAATTCAAATTTATGGAATCACCTTCGACGAAGAGGTGATCTCCGAGGGGACTTTTCAAGTCTCTTTCTAAAATCTCGATCTCATCTTTCGATTGAGAAATCCAAATCGATCTTCAGAAAATGAAGATCCAGGAGCATCCATTACTACTTGATATTCGAGAGAAGAAACGAAAAAACTCTTTCGATCAAAAAAACCATCTCGAGTGATGTCGCTGTAGCTGGATGTGCACGTTTATTTCAAAGCTCTGTTCCAGCAAGGAAAGCTTCACATTTCATCTACCAAATTTTCACGATTTATGTGCCGAGTGGACAAATTTTTGAGGTGAAATCATGTTTTAATCAGAAAAATGAATCCAAGCTTAATACAGTTTAGGTCACCAAAAGTGGCATTATTTTTTTGGAATCGAAAAGTTTTTAGGGCAAAATTTCAGTTTTAAGTTTAGTTGTAGCAAATGTTCAAATAAAATACATGGGTGTATCTTTTGAAATGAATAAATCAACAGAGATTTTGGGTCTCGTGAAGTTTTTTATGACTACTTTGCATCTCAAAAAGTAAATTTGCGTGTAAAGTTATTCAGTTCACATGTTTATTCAAAAGAAACAGACAAACAAGTGTCACTGAATCGAGGCCGAATTGGTGTAGGAGACGAAATACGAGGAATTCGCCAACTCGTACACCAAATAGGTGGCCTTTTCCCCTTCTGGTGTCTCTTTTTCGAAGAATTTATTCTCGAGGAGATTTTTGATGGGAAGCTTTGAGAAGTGGTTTCCCTTCTCCTCAATGTCAAGCTTCTCCAACAAAAATCTGACCTAAAGTGTTTCTGAAATTTCAAAATTTCCATTTTAAAGGATAAAGTTGAGAAAACATTATCATTTTTTAATTTCAAATTGACTTAAAACTACAAGTTATTCAAGTAAACATATAAGTGAATTTTGGCTGTTAACTAAGTATTTTATTTTAAAAATCGTAAATTTCAAATTTACTCTTCAAAGTGGCATTCATAGTTTTGAGGAAACACTCAAATCCCACCATTTTATCCTCGGTCTCGTAGTCGTTCTCCAAAACGCGGATTCCATTTTGTTTCATGAAGATTTTCTTGATCTGTCTCAAATTTGGGGCATACCCGAATTCTTTCGGTTTCTCGCCGTACAAACCGACGACACAATTGGGATTGGAAAATTGGTGACTCAAGAGGAAAGTGAGACTTTTCTTGAAATCAATCCATTTCCCACAATCGATGAAAAGTACATCGAGGTTCAACTTGTCGATGTGATTCACAAGTTTTCCAATGTCACCTGGTTTCTGCAAAAACAATCCCCTGACCTCTTTGATTTCAAACATCTCAAAGTGATCTACAATGAAATTTTCGGGCCATTTACCATTGGAATCTTTCAATTCGAAGAAGAGATTACCGTTAGCTGAATAACTTGACGAAGACTCCATTCTCGAAATGATTTTGGGCCAATTTTCAAGGCTTATCTAGCATCAAATTTCAGGAGATTGCACAATTTTTCACTCTCTTTTCCTCTTTTTCTGAAGCTTTTTTGGAAAGAGGTCAGTTTTATGATCTATGACAAGAGCAAACAAGAGTTTATTTCGGTAAAAAACAAAAAACATTCTAGAAACATGAAAATTACGTATGAAATCAATTTACCTTTGGAAACCACATTCGTACAAAAAATTCATACGATAAACGGTTTTTTGTGAGAGAAGAAAATGACAAAACAAAACATAAACAAGCACTCTTTCTATTTGTTCAAATTAGTGACAACAAATGATTTTGGAAAGCTCATTTGTGACCGTAGCTGCAAAATATTTAACAATAATTCTTTTTATATAAAAAATCTTTCGAATCAAGCAAAACTTGAAAAGTTTATCGTTGTTTAACAATTTGCAACATCATGGTCATTACTTTTAGACCTAACGATTCGTTCTTCGTTCGATTTCAGTTCTTTGCACTCGATCCAAAACGTCTAAACGAATTTGGTACACTGGAAAGGGTGTGTTTCCAATGAAAAAAGCTAAAGCCAAAATGGAAAAAAGGATCTAAAACACATTTAAATGATCTGGATAATCACCTCGATTTACCTGAGATAACAAGGAGAAGCAAAGAAAATATGGACAACAAAATTGCTCATTTTTTTGTTTGTGTACTCATAGTTTGTTGGCTTTTGTGTACAGCAAGAATTTTGCAAATTACACTAAAAGGTTGATTACCCATTTCATTCGATCTCATCGTGTTTTGTTGTCTGGGAATGTGGAACCAAATCTCACTATAAGAGTGGCTTTACAACTCAGCGATTAAGTTTCATAGGTCAGATTTTTGAAACGTATTTGTGTTGCATCAAAATACGACAAAATCATGATTCTGGAACAATTTTTATCCTCTTAGTAATTGCTAGAAGTGAGTGAGTTTTCATTATTCTCTCTTTTAGATCTTTTTCGAAAAGCTTTTCAAACACTTATATCGAATTATAACCACGTGTAAATGTGTAAAATTTAATATAATAGAACAAAATATTTATCACAAAATAAACAACAACTAGCAAAACAAAATGTTTGTGTTTTTTCAAAAAACAAGATTTTGTGGGTGGTGAGTTGGCACAGCGCACGGCTGATAATAATGGAAAGGCGGACTCTGAAGATTGGGTTGTCGGTGAGCCATTAAATACCACCGGACGATTTTAATCCACAATCAAGCTTTTAAAAAAGAAAACATTTTCGATATGCTGGGTTGGGATTTTTCTACAGCTTTGTGGTTTTACTTTTGAAACCGACCTATTCAATAAATTTAGTCCCACAAGACTATTTTTTAGACTTAGATTTTATAGCCACCAAAAAGCTACAACATTTGCAAAACGAACTGTAATAAAGCTCGATCATGGTAGCAGAGTTCATACTAAAAGGCCGATTTATTGGGTGATGGGAAAGTTACAAGCGAATTTCCCACAAACTACAACTCTTCTTATTCACAACTTTCTTCACAACTTCCAACTTTGTGTCATGACTTTTAACTTGCAACGTTTTCACATATTCTATTGATTCATTGCACTCATGGCTGACGCCCCGTTTAACCAAACGGAAAACACTATTCAAATATGTTGCATGCTTCTGGTAGGTGATTGGGTTGATTGATTGACTTCGGCATGTTTTTCAACTGAAATTAAATTACTTAACTTAGCAGGAACTAGTTGAATCGTAATAGTAGTGTTACCCATGAGCCATTCCGAGCTTACAGCTTGGCACACTCGGAGTAACGGCTGGAGTCACGGGAATCGTCGTTGTGTCGAGGAACTCTTTTCTGCGAGGTATTATATTTGAATATTGGAGCATTTTTGTAGAATGCATCTTTTTTGTTCAAATACCTAAACAAATATAATAATTTTTATCTCAATCCCAAGGCATTGTCCGACACTATCTCCTAATCGATCTCTCCAATTACATTCTCGTTAATGCCGGTCATTTGTTGTGGGCGGTGCCCTGTGCTATTTGGTGGGTTTCTTTTTGATGGCTTCAACTTCAACTCCAGTGCACCGATCCAAATAATCAATCTTCACTTCACTTTTAAAAGATTTCTAACTTGCACAATAATGTAATCATTTACAACGTACCCGTACCTCGGGGAGGCAAGGCCACAAGTTGGCTGGCAGCGGGTCATCTTTGTCATGTGTCCGACCCTTCCCCTAATCAGTATAGGTCCTCGATAAATTAGGCAGTCGTCGATTTCTTTCTAATTATTATTTACTATCAATCACTAAATTTTCAGGCGATTGAATTATCAGCTCCCAGTTGTCGATTATCTCTTCGGTGATCTTGTCAATACAGCTGTTTGTATGGGATATTTTCCAAAGGTTCGTATATTACTTGTTTTATTAAGCACCAATTCTTTAGTTGTTCCTTGGAATGAATCGCTTCTTTGCGATTGCTTTTGATGGAGTCTATCATCATAAATACGAGAGAACGGCGGTCATTCAATACTTGTTGATGATGCTCTGTCCGCTTGCATCATTTATCGCTTTTGGGCTTCGTAAGTTTGAAGTTAACAATAAAATGATTCTGTTAGTTAAAGTAATAATTTTGGGTAAGGCAAACATCACCAAATGACTAGCTTGTGTGCTCAGTTTTTTAATCATAAGATGTGATTTTGAGCATTTAACCCCATTCAAAAATGCTTTCAATGTTAAAGGCATTAAATAAGAAAAAATTATGGGCTGCCAGTAACAGGTCTAAACTCATGTTTAATATTTTTTTATTGTACAATGCAAGTTTACTCTAATAGATTCTCTCAAAACTTAAAAAATTGCAACTTCATTCTCGGCCAATGACCTCATTTTCAGCTGGCTGTCATGCCATTTTTCTTCCCGACGGGCAAAACTTCTACTTCGCTGAAGGTGGCTGTGGAGAGGCCACGATTTACTACACTCAAGTAAGAGATTGAGTAAATTTAAGGGATTTTATTGGTCAGGTGCTACCACCAGCAATTTTTCTTCCACTTGATGCCTGCTTTGATGGCTTCTCTTTTATTATGCTGTATCGGAGAGTTCAACAATTGCAGAAAGGGCGACAACAAATGAGCTCTCAAAAAGCAGATCAGCTCAGGAAAGGATACAAGTTGGCTCTGCAGGTACAACTATGTGTTTTCAGTTTTGTATTGAGTATTATAGAGCATTGGGAGCTATGCTAACAAGTGCTTGGGTCCAAAGCAGCTGAAAAGGAAACAAATGTAGTCACAAGAAATGAGGATGATAAACAGCTTTGATAGGACAACAAAGCTAGATAATGTTTGGCTATATAATATCTTGAAGCAATAAGATGACGCAGTTATCAATAGCAAAGCGTGTAGGCAGATCCCAAGAAAGGGTAGATAGCAGGCCATGTACCCTCATCATTCAGATGGTCAGCAATTTTATTGCCGGCGCTAGTTCGGCGACAGGTGTGGCAATTGGACAGAATTATGTCACTTCTCCGATGGGCTCATTTCTTTTGTGGACAGCCCTGTGGCAAGGATGTTGTACAGTGCAATGGTTGGCCATTGAAACTGTTATGCTTGTCAACGTTGGCAAAATAGCCAAACTTTTGCTAGGCAAATGTAGTCATTTCATTTTTCAGCACCACTTACGTGTTCTTGTTGAGTGAAAGACGGACAAAGCCTCGTGCCACTTTGCCTGTTCAAAAAGCCACCGTACAAACCAGTCAAGTTGACTAAGTTTTGATGGAAAAGGTAAATCTAAACGTATACATTTTCATTTACTCAAGTTTTTGATTGTATAAAATTTGTATCAAGCTGTATTGCCTATAAACAAGGAAAGTTGCTTGTCTTTGGCTTGAGCGTTAAAATACCGTGCAAAAATCGAGAAGATGTGGGACCATTTGCTTTGATCAGTCTGTAGGAATTCGCATTGCCATGCCCTGTACTGTAATCTCACAGTGTAAACGTCGAACAGAAAATCACGAAAAGAAGTGTTGCTTCCATAATTAGAATGGAGAATGCCTTCGGTGATAAACATTTGCAATGAGTGTACTTGTTTTACAATTCTTTGTGGCTCATTTTTTTCTAAGACAATTCTTTTTCGCACTCACCAAAACACAAAAGATGTACTACAGTCAGAAATTGGAAAATGATCGATGATAAACATAAATGAGTCCACTTGTTTCCTGATTCTTTCGGTGTTCTGAAGATACAATGTTAAAAACAACACTTGCAGTTAATCAAATGAAAATCTGCAATAGTTGGAGAATGAGTTAAATTATTTTTAACTTGCCTGACTTATTGTGTTTCTTTTTGTTCTTTTTGTCTCGCTTTTTCAAGGAGACTTCCAAAGATTATTTGACTTATAAAATACTCCAAAAACTGTTTTATTTCTCATGTTAGGACAATAATTAAATATTAAAACAGCGCATAAATTTGAATTCGACTAGCATCAGATTACCACAGTGAGGTTCTTTTTTTGTTATTATTTCAATTGTGGAGCTGTTCCCAACAATCTTCCACCATCACTGATCATTATTGTTCCCGTTGTGAAGGCGCTGCTCTTGCTAGCCAAGAAGTAGATTGTTTTGGCTATCTGAAATAGGATTTTATACTAAAAATGTTTTTATTTTTATTATATTTTTAGATTTCAGAATCTTAAAACGCTAAATTTCATTTTCATACAAATCCAGTACCTCTTCCGGTGAAGCGGCTCGTCCAATTGGGTTTGTGGCGCCGAGTTGATTATATCGCTGAAAGAACGAGGTTTTATTCAGAGATTTAGAAAAAAACCTATTTAACAACTATACTCAGAAAGAACTCACTTCTTTTTTATTAGTGGCGTCAGCCAAACCGGCGTTCACTGAGAACTCTGTCATCACCAATCCGGGGCTAAAATTTGGGTTTTATTTACTCAAGTTAGAGCAAATCACGTCAAAGTTTTAGTTTTACACTAACTTAATTGATAAGCAATACTAGTCATAAAAAATTCTCTCACTTGATGCTGTTAACTCGAACTCCTTGTGGTGCTAACTCGAGTGCCAAGCATTTTGTGTACATATCAAGAGCTGCTTTTGACATACAATAGAAGCCACAGCCTGGAACCTAAAATTGAAAAGATCTGATTTTTTTAGCAAATTAAAAGCATAAAACCACATACAATTATAGTGGCTGCACATTTTAGAATTTGTGCTCTATTACCATGCATTGGTTTTCGTCCAATCAAACGTTAAACATTAACCATTAATTGATAGTTTTATTGATAGTTTCAAGTGCAACTGAAGTCCACAACAAGGTTGTGTCTACAGTCGACGTTGTATTATTTCATTTCCACTACTCACCGGCATCTGCGAACCCGCACTGCTCACATTGACGATGTTTCCCTTCGATTTCAAGATATGTGGAATGACGAGACGGGTCAATTGATGAAGACTAAATTTAGAAACCGGTTTTTTTTGTACATTTTCAGTATTTATTGACCTTATTTATTGTTAAATCCAAACCTCCTCAAGTTCAAGTTCATCTGCTTATCGAAATCTTCGATAGTCGACGTTGAAATGGCTCCGAAATGGAGGAAACCAGTATTGTTTACCTGAACAAACATTAAACAACTTTTGGTTCTTTTGGCATTTATTTATTTAGTTATTTTGCATAAACAGATATTATGATGCAAAAAAACCAAGTGAATCCACTCACCAAAACATCGATCGATCCAAGCTTCTCAATTGTGTTCTTCACGACTTTCTCAGCCGTTTCGGCCAACATCAAATCACCGACAGTGATCACAACCTGGATTGAGTTATTTGAATACAATACAATTTTAATTTAAAAAGAATGCAATTTTAATACTTTTATATAATTTTAACTTATAAATCAAAAGTTGAACTCACTTTATCCTCCTTGATCCCAGCTGCAACACATTCTTTCTTTGTCTTCTCGAGTCCCTCGCCAGAGCGAGCGGTGATCGAAATGGCAAAACCCTGAAGAATTTTTGCTAATCTCTTGAGTAGTTTTCTTATTTCCTTCCTTTTCTATTTATTAGGTTGAGTACTAATTCTTGCTAACACTTTTTGTTTTTTTGTTTCATCAAAGAGCAAACCATAGCTTTTTATAATTTTTAATATGATACTCAGGCATGCATTGCCTAGCTTTTAAGTTTCATCCCGATCTAATGGCTAGGCTTCAAGCAGGAGGTTTTTGTTTGAGGCCAGTCGATTCCGATCTAGAGATCACATCACACAACAAGAGTTTTAGTTTTTGAGATTTCCCAAAGGCTAACCGATGTGTTTTTATGGAACTTTTGGAACATTGTCAGTATTGGATTGTCCATTAGGCAGCAAATTTTTAGTCTCTTTTGATGAATGAAAGCTGAGCTATGAACAAGAAAGCTATGAAGAAAGCTATGAAGGAAAGGTGACTTGCGAAATAGACTCCTTGGAAATAGACTCCTTGGTTTCATAACTTTCAAGTCCATTGGTAGCTTTATAAAGCACATTCATACAGGTAAATACGGTAATTTTGTTAATTTGTAATGAAATTGCCAATGAAAACTTGCTAACCCAAGTAATACAAGTATATGTACGAGTGTATATGTAACTACAACAAACCTGTAATCAAAGCAACGACCATTTTTCAAAGTGTTTCAAAAGTGGAAAACTAGAGAGTTCTCAAGAAATAAAAGTGACTTTTATAGAAGAACTTCTCGTCAAGAATTCCTTTTTGTTTTTTCTTTCCCCGTTTTATGGTTTATGGCAAATGTAACGGAAATCCTCAAAAATCCGCCTCTCTTCTCTCCTCACTTTCCCCCTTTTTTGCCCATTTTTTGCACAAAGTTAGGATCATCCTTGGAAAAATTACTAAAACTTTAGGATCTCATCGAAAGCTGAAATTCGGTCCATTGAATCAGTTGACTGGCGAACGAACTGATCTTGTCGTGAGAGCTCACTATGACACGGTAAAAATGCTTCACTGTCAATTTTTTAACAGATCAACAGATTAGGTAATATTCAACAACTTATTGCCAACGAGAGAACCTAACAGAAAAATAACGGGCTTTTAAAAAAAGTAACAGGTGGAATTTGAAGGGTATGGCGAGCTGGAGGCCCTTCTGTGTGGCCTTCCAACTTTCACCTACACAGTAACTCAGGCAAATGCCTCTGCCACAATGAAGTTGTCGGAGAGCATTGGGGTCATTTGCTTTTTTCGAGTCTGAACATGTTACAGAAGATTTAAAAGGATTATGATAAATTTTTGTTTGCCATTTTCGTAACTTTTCTTCAAATCTCACTTACAATGTTGTTCACAAAATCAACAGTTAAATGATTGGAAAACTTTTAGATCCTCGAGAGTAGTCCTTCATCAAATGGGAATGAATTACTTGAACAACGAAGAAGACACTTTATCAATTCAAAATTTGTAATTTTTCTGCTGATAAACGCGGTCAGTATCGACTGATGCTTTTTGGTGGTAAATTTGTGTCATGAATAGCTTAGTTGAAAAATAAAAGTAGTGTTTTAAATAAAAAAACCATAATAAAATCTCACGACGGTTTTGAAAAATCTCGGCCCTAGCCCGGTCCAGCAGGGAAGGAGAGGGCCTGTACTCCAACCGCCTTACCCTGGGAATAGAATGTTGTTTAAATTCAAAAAATGTATTACTGTATTGGGTGGTATGAGCGTACTTCAATTTTTTTAACATATTTTCTGTAGCAAAATTGTAAATGGGTGTCTTGTAATTGTAAAATTGTTTTCCTCATGTACATTTTGAGTTTTGATTTTCTATCCCAGAAAAAAAGTTCAGTCGCTTTGCAAAATGGAAACGGTTTAGAAAAGTGGACTGAATAATGCATTGGTTTTCAAAAAGGTCGAAAATCTCTGAAAGAGGCAAAGAAAAGACCATTTTGTGAATGCCATGGTGAGAGAAAAAACGAGGAAATGAGGAAATCGGAAAATTCTTTTGTTTTCTCTTTTTCGAGTGCAATCCTTTGCCTATTTATGTCCATTTTTGACTGAATTCTTTTAAAAACGACAATCTTTAAACGATTGTGCGTAGAGTGGAGTCATTTTTCAACACCCACTGGTTTTTTGAAGAAGAAAAGAAAAAAGACAATGAAGAAGTACACGCTTCGAGCTTTGAAAAAAGGAGAAAGACAAAAAATACGCTCTTTTGAGCACAGTGTGTTCTAAATTTTACAAATACGGTCAAGGGGCGGGGGGAGGAGGCGTTAAAAGTGGTTTTAGCTATCAGAAGAGCTCATTTTTAACGGGTTTTTAGTCGACTCAATGCACTTTGCATTAAATTTATTCCTTCTAATTATTTTAGTGGCAAAATGCTTTGGGGTGAGTGATTGCGGAGCTCGGTTTGTGCAACTTGCGAGTTAAAATTGTATTTGATACGTTGACAGTCGTTCAAAGATTGGTTGAATTGATGGTAAAGAATTGATTTTGAAGTCGAATCTAATTAGAGTTAGTCAACGAAAACTTTTTTGAAATTTCTAGAGCACTCAAAGTTTGATTTCCGGTTACTTAAAGTGACTTTGAGAAATTTTAACCGTTAGCCAACTACATTGAAAGAGATGTTTAGTAACACATTTACTGGATGTAAGTGATGAGCATATCTTCAACTTGCTTCTGTAAATGTGATTAAGCATCTTTATATAGTTTGGTCAAGAATTTGAGTCTTATCAATAAAATCAATGTTCTTTACAGCTGGCAGATCATCCAACCAAACCACCAGTTGGCTGTCCCAATTATGCTCTCTGCATCGACAACAACTACGATACAACAAATACCATGTATTATGATTGCGAGCCAAATTATTGTGGGGTAAGTTGGTTTAGAGAAAGAACTGACCTCTGACTTGGACAATAGCTAATTTGCTTTCAATCAAAAAATGCGAAGTTTATAGTGAGGTTGGAAATTTACAATAGCTTTATGTTTAGTTGTGCAACGATGGAACGGCCGACAATCTCTTGCTAGCCATGTTTTACACGAAGAAGGTGTATGCTTGTGCATCGAGTTTGTTTTTATGAGAAATTCGACAAAATCTAATCTTAGACACCACAAATAAATGTGTGTTGCCTGGTTGTGTATTGGGTAAGGGAATGGTGGGACCAACAACATGTACCAATTACATCAACAATTATGATTGTCAATGTCAGAGTGGATGGACGGGAACCGATTGTACACAAGGTGGGAATAAAGGGAGGAGAACTTGGATATGATGAAATTTTATCTTTATGTAAACAAATTGAATTGAAAGTTTGAAGATCTGGGCCCCAAATTTTGATCTAATCAATTAGATTGCCAATAATCGAAGTAGATTTTGTAAGGTGAAGAAAAAAAGCAAATCCAAATTTCAAAAATTGAAATTAAACACTCAAAATGTTCCTCTCACTTTTTAGTAAGTACAATTTGTGATTCGAGCCCTTGTCGGAATGGTGGTACATGCACTCCACTCACTGCAACCACTTTCAAATGTGATTGTGGAACGAATGCGATGGGTGAACGGTGTCAATGTGAGCTTATTTCGAATAATTTGGAAATTTAGCATGCATAAAATAGTGTTTTTGAATGCAAATAAAGTCAATGGTCTGAATGTTTAACCATTTGTCGTAGATTAACGAACAATAAAATATTATGTCCAAATGTCCAAGTATATGCCAGCATCAACTTCCAGTAATCTTTACTTTCCAATCAGTTAAGTTTAGATGAGAATATCTGTGCCAATTCCCCGTGTGTCAACGGAGCCTGTGTGATGCTGTTCAGTGGAGAGAAATCGTTGGATCAATCCAATTTGCTTTCATTTTTTCTTTTCAGCTACTGTAACTGCACAAGTGGATGGCAAGGGGCAAAATGTGATACAGCGACATTGACAAGTGAGTTGGAAATGAGATTTAGAGTTTACGTTTAAAATCCGGCCATTGAGACATTTCAGATGCTGACACGACGATCAGTCCGTGCATCAAGATTAAGGCTGGTGACACGAACAGCACGGTGGAAGATATGGGGAAAGAACCGTCAGCTTCTCTGTGAGATTTACTATGCACAATTCAATATGCTTACAAAAGCCAAAGTTTATGTACAATATAGAGTGCATTTTTGGGTTTTAGTGACAATTGAATCAAGTGAATCAAAAGCTTTCTTTTTAGGTGCAGAAGCATGTTTCAAACGGAGGTCATTGATGGTGCCACGTACAAGTCATACTGTAAGTGATTTAATTGGGTTTAACATCATGGATTATGACCTAGGCTAAAAATAGCAATGATTCTTTATTACCAAAAAACTAAGTTTCGATGTTAATATAGGTGTCGCTGGAAAGAAATGCTATATGTACACAACTTTTGTAACCGATGGTGGTAATAGTTCACTGTTGGACGATTGTGCAACGAAATGTAATCAAGAAGCTACACCAAAAGGGAAAACCGATTACCCTGGGTGGGTGACTGGAAATTTCAATATAGATTTGTGTTTATGTTTAGTGCCAATGAGATCTGCGGTATGTCTTATTCACCATCAGCAAAGAACCCCCGTGGACCATGCTACAACTATGCGGATATTTGTAATTGGGCAGCTTTTAATTAATGGAGCAAATGTTTTAGTTGATTTTACTTTCTGCACACCAACTACTTGTTCAAATGGTGGTGTTTGTGTGGAGAACAAAGGAAATTCGACAACATGTTTGTGCTCAAGAGATTGGCAAGGGCCAACGTGTGCTTTACGTGAGTAGAGTTGAAAGCGTGAAACGAACATTGCTTGTTGTTTATTCGGCAATCACAATTTTGGTTGTTTCAAGCTTTTGCTAGTATTCTGCTGCAAGCAAACTTCAACAATTAAGGGGGAGGTTCTGTAGTTCTATAGCTAAAGAGGAGCATCACTGAACGTCAAGTTGAAATCAAAGTTTTAAGGGGTACAGGCTATTGTGTTCATTGTCGGTATACAACAATATACTATAGTTATTCACTCAACCAATTTTAGCTAAACAAGCGTGTGTCCCGAATCCATGTCACGGGAGTGTTTGCCGAAACACAACCGGTTTCAATTTCTACGAATGTGACTGTAAAGCCGGATGGACTGGACAAGATTGTGATAGTGAGAGAAGAGAACGAAATCCCTTTTAATTCAACCTCAGTTCAATTGCATTGCCAACCAGCCGACCCAGCTGATTATCCATGCAAATATGGTGGAATGTGTGTCGAGAAGAGTGACTCCCCGGGCTTCACATGTGAATGTCTCAGTCGGTACACGGGCGATGATTGCAGTAGTTAGTGATTTGAAGATTAACCGTAACTCATAAGCTTTAAATAGTTAATGATTTATGATTAATTAACACAAAATCTGTCATTTTCAGTTCCCAACATGTGTCGGACTTCGTTAGGCTTGAATCCATGTATTAATGGTAATTGCTCAATCAACAAAGATGGCTTCAATTCAACGTATGAGTGCACATGTGAGGCTGGATGGACGGGACAGAATTGCGACATATATTTTGATTTTTGTAATCCACAACCGTGCCTCTGGGGTGGATCGTGCTCGAATGTGAGTGATAACGGGAACTTATGAGGATAGTGTTGCACTAGAGGAAAAAACTGATTCTAGCGATACCAAGTGGTCTCTTACTGGCTCTTTTCAATAAAGCTCAGTTTCTTTATCTTATGATTTACTGTATTTTTTTTAAAACTTAAGCTGAAAAAATACGATCTCAACTTGTCACTTGTCAACTAACAAGTATCAGGTAAGTCAATTTCAGTATCGACCACTCGGCATTCCAACGTATCCATGGATGAAATGCGACTGTCAACCGGGAACTTTTGGTGATAAATGCGAGACGAGTTGGTTTAAAACCTTAAATTTAAGACAGCCGTTTTCTAGATCCGGACAATTGCCCAGTCGATAAATGCAATGCAACAGATAAAGCGGTTTGTGAGTGCCAGCCAGACCTTGTACGTATAATAAATGAACAAAATTCAGGCTAAATGCATTGACGGATTCGACGATTTCACGTGTGTCTGCTCGCCCGATTACACGAATAAATATTGTGACATTCGTGGGTCGAATAAATTCAGATCTACTATTACAAAGACACTATTAACAATACTAACAACAAGTAAATATTTTCCAGCTGTAATCGTCTACGACGCGATTCGTCTCATTTTCGGTGAAGATGCCACAGTCAGCGATGATGTTATTCAAGTATTTTATTACTTTGATATTTAAATTCTTTAACTTCAAATCTTTGAAGTTCAATTAGCCTTCCACAAATTACCCCTTTTCAGCTCCTAAAAGACCTTGTAAGCAATCCGACGAACATCAAAGACATGGTGCCGTTCATTTTGGGGTTAGAGACAGAAGATGAAAGGTGAAAAAGAAAGGTTTATCAAGACAAAAAGTCTTCTAGAGGTGACAAGAGTTGGGACTACAATGACATGTTCAAATGGGTTGCCTATGAGGAGAGAACATTGAACTTACAGTGAGTTAATCCAAAAAAAGTTCAAGTTCGAAGAATTTGGAGTCAAAATCTTCAATACCAAATTCTTTTCTACTCAAAGATCAGCTGTAAATGTTGACAAATAAATTTCAGGCAAGATCTGCTGAAATGGAATGATGTGACGCTGGGAAATTGTTTCACTTTCAATCATCGAAACAACACAAAAGCACAGTATCTGGCCAGGATGAGTGGGAAAGCTGGAAGTTAGTAAAACAATTTGATCAAGCAATTTTTTGATTTAAAACAAAGCTAAACCAGATCAAGAGACTGAAGATTTCATATAATTTCAGCTTTTTCAGGCCTTGAAGCTATGTTGAGTGTGAACAGTGAGGAGAATTGTCCTTGGATCGACACAGAAGCTATTCAAGTGACTGAAGGAGATTTGTGGACCTTAAACCTTCATTTTGTTTAGGTATTTGTACACCCGGCTGAAGAAGACATTTTCTCTGAGTCCGTTCGTTACAATGCACAACCAGGCGGTGAAGCTGAACTGTTTCCTAAATTGGTTGGGATTTACTCAAGATGTGCTATTTGGTACTACATACAGTGCTACATTTAAGTTAAATTAAGACTATATTTGATGTAGCTAAGTTGTAATTATTGATACTTTTCCCCTTTTCAGACAGCTTATCAACGGCTGGGTGGCCGATATGGTCGATGTGTAACTGAAACGAGTCAAGTGAAACAGTACTTCTACTCGGGCTCATATGCAACCGATGTGAGTTCAACACGCTCAGACAGACAACCCGATAGATTTACCAAATTAACTCAGGCATACTAAAAGACTATTTTTTACAGGGTTGCCTTCGTTCATGCTATCAACAAGCTGTTTTAGTCAGCTGTAGTTGTATGGACCCACGATATCCGATGGATAAAACCGCTAAACCGTGTCCATTGGAGAAAAGTTTGTTCTACCAAAAAAATGGCGGCTAATTTTGACTTGTCATGCAAAATTTAATACAGTAACTACCAAAAAATTTAAATTAAACTTTCAGGAAAATGCGTGGAAGATCTAGTGGCCGAGAGGGGTGATCCATCAAAATGGAAAGATTGTGTCTGTCCATTGCCTTGTGCAAATCGTGCCTACACTGTTTCGTGGACTAAATCTGTATTCACGGCAAAGGTGTGTTAAGAACTGTTTGTTTAAGAATCATTTCCTATGATCGACTTTCAGAAGCCCCAATGTGCCGTTGTTGATCCGACATTCAATACGAGCGCCTGTATCTCTACGTATAAGGTTCACTAAAACGGCATTCGTTCAAAGTTATCATCTACAGGACACCGTTCGTGTTCGGGTTCTCTTGCCTGATTTCGGCTTTCAATTGTTTGAAGAGGTGCCGGTGATGTCGGTAAGATATTGATTGAGTTAAGATGAAGTCCTAAGAATCTGACATGCTATTGGGTTGAGTCGCATGAAATGGACCGCCTTTTTTGAATGAGCTTTTTGCAAAGACTAATTCACCAATTAAATTATAATTTGTTTTTTTAGAAAGAACTATTTTTCCTCTGCAAAATGACTTGAATGCTTGGAAAGATCTTAGTTTTGCGGGTTTATCTGGGGAACAAGAAGCTGAGTGGTCAGAAATGACGACAATACGATGAGCGATTAGAACACTTTCCTCCCAAGAAACCCATTTTGGTGTCAATGGAAAAAAGATCGAACACAACAAGTTAGGTCTATTACCAAAACTGATTTTGTGAAAAATCAAGCTTTTTTTCCAAATTTTGTTCAAATTAGGCCCAGATTTGTTTAAAATGATGTTAAAACAGAATATAAACATTGTTTTAAACAAACCATAAGTAAATTAGTCTTTTCAAAATGCTTATTTGAAAAGGGCGGTCAATTACATGTGACTCAACCCAATAGATTGAGTTAATGAGGTTAAGACGAAGCTCTAAGAATCTGAAATATTACAGGCTAAGAATGAATGAGTTCTAATGGAAACAGTTTAAAATCTATTTAATCAAATACATTTTGATGACTAAAATGTTAGTTGGAAGTATTTTTAGTTCTGTAAACCCTTTCAGTTCAACTCATTCATCGGAAATCTCGGTGGTTTGTTGGGTGTCTTGATGGGAATTTCCACAATTTCCTTCATCGAAATCGGTTTCCTTTTCTTGGCCATCATTGTGATTGTTCTCGGGTGCAAAAAGACAAAAAAATAGAATATCGAATTTGTTAATTTATTTGTTTTGAAAGTGATGAATGATAAAAGCAAAACGGAAAACACACACGACATCTCATTCAGTTCGCTATTTCGAATTGGCTGAATCGAAAAACAATTGCAAAAATTTTCAGAAAAGTAGAATAAGTGTTTAGACGAATGATTTTTAACATAAAACTTTTAATTTTCCATTGCTCATTAATTTTCTTTCTTAAGCTTAAGCAAAAGCACTTTTGAAAGGGATGGACCGGTTCGTTTTTCTTGTCTTTATGGAAAAAGAACCTCGATTTTTCTCGTATCTTTCCAAGAAATCCTTTATTTTATCATGGATTTTTCTTTTTCACTTCCCTATTCGCCAAAATGGAAAGCCAGTCACGAATTTTTCACTCGCTAAACTGTTCCCTGTGCAAGAAACCATGTAAGTTTGGATAAAAGCAAAGACGTCTTTTGCTTTTATTTCTATTAAAGGAGGGGGGCTATTAATCGCGGCCGGATGACCATAAAAAGACCTTAAAAAAGCAATCGAGGTCGCTTAGGGTGTTTTGATGGTCTTTTGTGTCTTTTGCATTATCTAAACATAAAATCTCCATCTGGAAAAAGGCATCTAGAGGTTTTAAAAACCAGAAATATAGAAGTCTAGAGAAAACAAAAAGAAAACATGGTGCGCGACTTTTGCTTTGCTTTCGCACTTACCTTGTAGGTGAACTACGCGAGCCTTGCAACGTCTCCAAAAATTTGTAAACCCATAAAATCACTCTAGCCGGGTGATTTTTATTCCTTTTATAATAAAATTAGCAATATTAAAATACTAAAACAGGTGGTTGCCTTAAAAGAATTTTTATGGTCACCCGGCCGCAACTAATACCCCCCTTTAAGCTTCTAATGATTAGATATACAATCGACTCTAGATAATGTAGAACTCTATAATGTGAAATCGAAATTTGGTCCCAAAAACAAATTTTCCATTAGAATCCATCTGTCTAACTATATGGAAAATTCTGTACCATGGACAAGTTTTTCGGTTCCACATTATCGAGAGTTATCCGTTCAGGTGATAGTTCAGTTTCAAACTCTGTCTCCGACCCGAAAAGTCCTCGTCATTTGAGCTGTGGAGTGGCCGTTTGTAAGCTGTGCTGGGATATCGAGGAACCGATTGAAAAAGCAAATCGAACACATAAATGTTCCTATCAATGGGAGTGCTTTAATTTCGATGTGCCCGTCTATTATTTATTGGGTAAATATGGAAAAAATCTTTGACGTTTAAACTTCAGAGATTCTCGATCATCCATCGATTGCTACAGCTCAAAATGAAGCTGGTTATTTACTTTCAAAGGTAGTATTTGGAAATTAAAAAATTAGAAAGAAATTAAAAGCTTTAAAAACGTTATAAATATTTAAAAATTGAAATAAGAAAAACATTATTGATGCTAGAAAATGGGCCAAGATGGGGAAGTTCTTCAAAAAATGGTCTAATTTCAGGCCATGAAAACTCCCGAATGCCCAGTGTGCCGAGAAGAGTGTTCGTTGCAAGAAAAAAAGCAAAACCAATTATTTTCATTTTTTCTAGATGTAATTGATTTGGAGCAACGAAAACCGTATGATTTGTGCTGTCGACACGCTGTTTGCAATCGTTGTTTCCTGGAGTTGAGCACCTCATCGAATGACCCGGAATTCCCATGGCATGTAGTGTGTCCAATTTGTAAGGATAATCGGCGACATGCGATGAAATCGAGGAAAAATCAACTACAGGGTAGAAAGTCAAAGTTAGCCCTCCCTTGGCTGTAGCTCATAGTCAGTGGTTCTTTTAAAAGCTTTTTGGAAATTGTTACTCCTAGTTATTTTAATTTCAAAAAATCTACAGCTTTATTTTTAGATTTTCTCCGAGAGTTGCCTGAGATGCTCAAGGAGTTGAAATTGAACGCAACAAAGAAGTGCTATAAATGCCAGACAGAGGTTGGGTAAATGAAGCTAATGAAATAAAAAGTGACCGTCTAGAAGCCGATCAATGAACTGTTCTACTGCAAAGACTGCCAGGAAAAGGTTTGAAAGTTTTAGGTTCATAGTCAGTTGAGATGTAGTAAGCTTTAGATCTGCGAGTCTTGCAGCCGCAGTCAGCACCAAAACTGCGAAACAATCTTATACTCGATGCGACGGGTACTGAAGGAGAAAAATAAAAAGTAAGCACAAGTTTCAGATTGAAAAGATTCGCGATGATCTCCAAAAGAATTCGCTTCCCCAAATCGATGATCATGAGGGGATTTTCCGAGAGAAATATGGAAAACTTTTAAGGGATATTGAAGCTTTTAAAGAGGTTAGTAGATGAATTGCTTTTTAAAAATATAGAAAAACCAAAGATTTGCTTTCAGAAAATGTCATTGCATTTGGATCATTTTGACAACTCAGAGCTCTCTGAAGCCTTGGATCGACAAGAGAAACTTACGTGAGTGTAAAATTGATTCATTAGCCATTTTCTTTTCAGAAAAAATCTTCAAAAACTTGAGCACATTGCTGAGAAATTTCTTTCACATTTTCGAATTTTCGACACAGAGATGCAAGTGAGAAGTTATGAGATGGGAATGGCAGAGGAACTGTAACTTTCCATGGTACAATAAACAGAAAACTCAAACATTTTCAGGATCTCTTGAAGACGATCGATAAGGAAATTCAAGTCCCGGATCCTGCTCATTGATCAAAACGAAAACTTGATGACTTTATTTTAGTATAGTTTTGCTGAATTATTTCTGTTATTTTATTCTACTCATTTCTACGCGTAAATTTGCCTCTCATCTCTGCACTCTCATAAAGTTCTTTGAAAAAATTAAGTTGTGGTGGTGAAAGTGACAGGAAAAATATTTAAAATTTTATAAAATAACTGAAAAAAACAAATCTTGACAATATAATAATTTTTAGACACATTAACTTTGGAAAATCTTAAAATGCCTGTGGCAGTTTTTTTGCTCTTATCGGGTGAAACATGGGAGAAAAAGTGAAAGTGAAAGTCCAAAGTGAAACTAAATCTGTAAATTGGATGCATCACCTGATAATCCATTGGGCATATTGAGCATTTGTCGATTGCATCCGATTCCTCTCATCGACAATCGTTTCTTTTGTCCTTTACTAGTACCCGGTTGATTCAGACCACAAAAATTTGATGGAGCACCTGAAACTTTAACTGATTGAACTTGGGTAATTGAACTTGAGTTTATTGCTGTAAAAATTGCTCATGTTTTATCAACAGTCCTAAATCCGCTTTTTGCACTCACTTTCATTAGTATGTATACTTGTATGCACATCCAGTATCTCTCGCCTCATCTTGATGCTTCGACCAGGCTTCGAGGAACGAAGCACCAAGCTGAAAATTGTCAACTACACAAAAGACCTTGACCCTTACCTTCCACTCATTAACTTTAAATTTTTCTTAGGAGTTCTTGATCAATGCTCTATTCTCCCATAATTTTTGAATTTGAGGAATCTCAGTGATTCGTTTCCTCTTTTTTAAAAGTTCTCGAATCTCTATTTTTATTTTTGTCTTTATTCTCTTTATCTTTATTTTGAACAAGAAGACTTTTGAAAAGGTTTACTCACACACAATCACACCTCACACATTTTCCCACTTTAGAATTCCACTTTTTCTTGCCAATACGTTCACTTCTTTATAAAAAACTTGTTCATAATGGTAACGTCGTGTGTTATGTTGATATACCGCTCATAAATTATCAGGCAGAATTTTGCAAATAATGCAACGGTTTGTACAAACAAATGAAACATACGAACTTTTGTATATGTATACAGTGTTTCATACTTGTAGATGTATTGGCCGTAAGCTATGATTTTTCTGGACTTGAAAAGGCAAATAACTTTATTGGCAATTTTCAAACGATTTTGCTCAGCATCTTTGCTTGAAGCAAACTACATCATATTACATCTATTTTCAGAAAAAAAATCGAAAAAGATGGCAATGAAATATGGCAAGTTCGGAGGAGACAAGCTCTGACAGCCGCCTGGAAAGAGAAATTCGTGCTCAAATATGCTAAACGAACTAAACGAGATGGGGTGTCAATGTGTGTTTGTTTCCTATGACCCCGTCTCTTCCCATATCGTCCGTCGGATCTATCTCGTTTGGCAATATATTTGAATCATACACTTCTTTGAAAGCATAAATGTTTTTGGTGGATCAAAAGATGACTAGTCGCTTGACTTTTGTCTGTTCACTCCTGTTTTGTTTGATCAACTCAACTTTCGCATGTCAACGAACTCAACTGTGAGTGAGAAAGATTTTCTGTTAATCAATGGAAATAATTCCTTAAAGTACTGAAACGATTCTGAAGTATTAGGTTGTCCGGAAATAAATGAGCGTTTTGTATTGTTTATTATTTGGGTACATTTTTCTCAATAAAGAGCTCTGTACCTTGAATGTTATATACCATAGAAAGCTGAGTTCGCACTCTCTTTAACCATGCTTTTAAATTTTGCGAAAAAAAATTTTGCGAATTTTAAGCTTCGCCGTTTTAGATGTCCGAAACTAACTTTCGCCAGATTTTCTTTTATGAGTTCAAACTCGGTCACAATGCGCGAAGCGGCTCGTAACATTAACGAAGTTTGGGGCCAAGGCGTGTCGGCGAGCAACAGTGCGAACTTGGTTCCGAAAATTCCGAGGTGATGATTTGGATCTCGAAGATAAGGAAGGCCTTGGCCGTCCTGTTGAACTCGATGACGACGAAATGAAGACCCTGGTGGAAGCAAATCCACGTACGACTATTCGAAAGTTTGCGGAGGAGCTTGGCGTGGGCAAGACGACCATTTCTGACCACTTGTAACGGATTGGAAAGTCAAAAAAGCTCGATAAATGGGTGCCGCACGAAGGAACGAAAATCAAAAAATCGTCGTTTTAGGTGCCGTCTGCTCTTCTTCAGCGCAACAAAAACGACTCATTTCTCGACCGGATCGTAACGTGCGACAAAGTGGATCCTCTACGAAAACCGGTGACGTTCCGCTCAGTGGTTGGACGCCGGAGAGGCCCACAACACTTTCCAAAGCCAAATTTGCACAAAAGAAGGTTACGGGACTGTTTGGTGGCCGCAGTCGGTCTCATCCATCACAGCTTTCCGAATCAGGGCGAAACGATTACGGCGAAGAAGTACGCCAACAAATCGACGAAATGCACCAGAAATTGCTGCGAATGTGCCCGCATTGGCAACAGAAAAGGTCCAATTCTTCTTCACGACAACGCTCGCCCGCACGTCGCACTACCGACCCTGCAAACGCAAACGAACGAGCACGAAACTTTGCCTCACCCGCCATATTCGCCTGACCTTTCGTCTATCGACTACCACTTTTTTAAGCACCTCGACAACTTTCTCCGGGAGAAATGCTTCAAAACTCAAGACGATGCCAAAAACGCCTTCGCCGACTTTATCGCCACCAGAAGCCCGGACATCTATGCTACCGGCATAAATAAACTTGTTTCTCGTTGGCAAGAATGTGTTAATTGTAATGGTTCTTATTTCGATTAATAAAGTTTTGTTTGGATCAAGTTATGGTACTTTAAATATTCAACTTAAAAACGCTCATTTATTTCCGGACAACCTAATACATTACAGCGAAATTTCAGAGGAGACCCAGGTGATCGATGCGTTGAGACTTGAGCTGAAACTGAAAACACACTCACTGCAAGACTCAGTTTGATCATTGAAAGATTCAAAAAATGAAAAACAAATAGTAAGTTTTTTTTAAGGTTGTTCTTCTTGCGACGAGGATCTCGATCAATTTCATGTGAAGGCTAACGAAATAGCCGGTCTCCCACCGGGTGCCCTCCTGAATGCGCCCATCGTTTTTCAGTACAGGTCTCGTGATCAACTGAAAAAGTTCCGGCTCTACCCTAATAATGTGGCCTTTTCAAATTCAAATTCTAAAAAGACCACGTTACTATTAGGTTGTAAACTAATTCTTGGCTACGTACTTTCAAACTCTTCTTTTAAATTTAAATGTACATAGTTAAGACTTAGTTTACAACCCAATAGGATAGAGCCAAAATTCTCTAGCACCAAAGCAAATGGATGCATGGCGGCGTCGATGGTGTGCAATCCAAACGGCACCCCACAACAATCGACCCTTTCTGTGGTTTTTTTCGATAAGGTAAACTTCTGATCTTCTATTATCAGCAGCTTTTCACACAACCAAGCTTAAGGTGAATACGGTTAACGATCTCAGCTCACGTAACTCGTTTGGAGATGTCGAGAAGGGACCGAATCCGACACGCAAAAGCGAGTTCCGCTGTCAAGCCGGACAGTGGTACAGTGTACAAAAGGTGAGTTTTAGCAAACACACTTTTGATAAAGAGTAAAAATGGAAAACAATCACAAAACTTTTAAAATTATTCAGAAGTAAGCCAAAAATTTTGATTAAAAAGCTTTGTTCTGAATAACAACTTTCCGAGAATTCCGATTTACAGGCCAATCCGGCAAAGAAGGGACTTGTCGCTTCACTTGTCTGCTTCACGGATAAGCCTCCTGCTGGCAAATAATCTACTATGCTTAGGAATTTTCTTCCATAAATTATTGAAATCGAATTCTACGAATAAAACAACAGAAAAAATTTACTTTTTAAAACTTAAGTATGGTCTGGTGTATCAGGTATATGACCGTTAAGCAAGTATGTTTGCAGTGTAAATGCGGGTAACCTAAAAATTTTGCAAACTAACTAAAAACGAATAAACTTTATTTGTACATCAAAAGCACACTAGAAAGTAGTACTAGCTTTTCGCATTTCAAAAGTGCTCATTATAGTTGTCGCTTGTAGGACTTGAGTCGTTGTGTGATCTGTTCCGCAGTCGCCAACAGACTTAAGAAACAAGTGAGCATCGCAAATTTCAAAACTGTTTCCATAAAGAGTGGCAAAGCGGTTAAAAGACTGTTTGTCTGAATCCACTCAACAGTGTCAACCCTTTTTGCGCTAATAAGAAAATAAGAAAACTAAACAACAATGTTCCTTAATGTTTGATTCCTTTCCTGAGACTTGTTTCGCCAAAAGGCTTAGGCTTAGGCTTAGGCTTAGGCTTAGGCTTAGGCTTAGGCTTAGGCTTAGGCTTAGGCTTAGGCTTAGGCTTAGGCTTAGGCTTAGGCTTAGGCTTAGGCTTCAGGCTTAGGCTTAGGCTTAGGCTTAGGCCCAGGCTTAGGCCCAGGCTTAGGCTTAGGCTTAGGCTTAGGCTTAGGCTTAGGCTTAGGCCAGGCTTGGGCTTAGGCTTAGGCTTAGGCTTAGGCTTAGGCTTAGGCTTAGGCTTAGGCTTGGGCCCAGGCTTAGGCCAGGCTTAGGCTTAGGCTTAGGCCAGGCCAGGCTTGGGCTTGGGCCAGGCTTAGGCTTAGGCTTGGGCCAGGCTTCAGGCTTAGGCTTAGGCTTAGGCTTAGGCTTAGGCTTAGGCTTAGGCCCAGGCTTAGGCTTAGGCTTAGGCTTAGGCTTAGGCTTAGGCTTAGGCTTAGGCTTAGGCTTAGGCTTAGGCTTAGGCTTAGGCTTAGGCTTAGGCTTAGGCTTAGGCTTAGGCTTAGGCTTAGGCTTAGGCTTAGGCTTAGGCTTAGGCTTAGGCTTAGGCTTAGGCTAGGCTTAGGCTTAGGCTTAGGCTTAGGCTTAGGCTTAGGCTTAGGCTTAG